TGCCATTAGGGACCTTAATGACAAAGTTATTTCGTATGTGAAATAGTAACCATCGTCCACTTTTTAGAGGTCATAGAGGCTTTTTTATGAAATTCAAACAAAAAGCTCATTTTGGCTTTGTTCAATACCCATTGAAAAAACTTTTTCTCAATTTGTTAAGTTTTTTGACGAAATTTTAATATCTACTATAATGTTATTATATGTATTACAAATTCAGCTCATTAAATTTTTTAAAATTTCTATTACAAGAATATAAAATTAAATGTTAGTATCTTATGATGAAATGTCTTCAAATTATTCTAATATCAAACTTAATATTTTTTTATAAAAATTATTAATTTTATTGAATGTATATTAAAAATAATACATGATATAGCGATTTGGTTTGATTTTTTTAACTTCTTTTTGATTTTTTTGAAAAAATATAAATAAATTTGACAAAAAAAAATTGTTTGCTTTGATTTTGCAAATGGTTGTGGAAGAATGTGGCACCTCCCAAAAATTAGTTTTTTTTGTTGGTTGACTTGGAGGGGCAGAGTGCAATCCAGTCTAAATGGAAACCTTTAGCGAAACCCAAATGAAAATAAATCCTAAGAATTTTTTATAATATTTTGGGTGCCTCACCCCAAATACAGTGAAATAAACCAAACGAAACTAAACCAGACAAAGCTTTATGTCCCAATCAAGTGGGCTACGATACGTGAATAATAATTTCGTCATTTCGTACTATTAAAAGCTTTATACTCGGTTAAATTAAATAAATTCATTTAATTTTTTTACTTATCACATCCCAAGTCAATTTACGTCTTCCCCTAACATTTCCTTTACGGTGATCCTATCACATTCTTCTCTACCATTTCATCTGCTACTCTACATTGTACATACCAAACCATCTTAGTTTGTTCTCTATGAACATATTTTCAATTGGTACTACTCCTACCATTTAATGTATATTCATTTCTATTTCTCTCTGTCCAAAACTTACCAAACACCGACCTAAGCATCCTCATCTTAACTACACTCATTTCATGAGTTTGTTGTTTTTTAATTGTCCAATATTATGTGAACTGCAAAGTATCACTGGTCTTATAATTGTTTTATAAATTAACGTCAATTTTGTTAACATCATTGATCACATAATATGCCAAAGGCACTCCACTTGAACCGACTTTGACTCTATTACAGGTGGAAATTTATAACACAACATGAATCGTACATGAATTTAGGGATTAGGGTTGAACATTTTCAACACAAACACAAATATGACACTATATAATAACATGATAAATAAATAGGGTTATGTCAAACCTGCATAATATAAAATTGACACAGATAACCCATTTAATAGATAATTAGTTACAAATTTTAATGTTATTTTCATTAAAGGATGTCAAAAATGTTTAAATCTCTTATGTAACCTACACAATTAAATAAAGAAAATACATAAAATAGTATTTTCAGGTTAATATAGTCATTTTGTCTTTTATTTGAGAGAACATGATCTTTTCATTTATTATTTTGAAGTCAATAAAAATATATTTTTTTTGAATAAAATAAAGTCAAAATTAAATATATTTTTTTTATTAATTTCATTTAGTAGAGATTAGTATCATGAAATTTAACTTAGAAAAAAACGTTAATCTTTCCATACACTTAGTATTTTTAATTGAAATTCGTATCATGATATTCATTTTTGTCATTTTTTTGAAAGATAAAATTGACTTTAACCCCCTCTGCTTTACTCCATGTGTGATTTACCTCTGATATTTGAAAATAAGTACATAACCCCCTTATGACCTAGCACATGTTTCATACTTAATGTTAACTTGGATTGAACGTCTAACGGTATACTTCATTTAGTCCACAAACCACAAGAACATTACAGTTATTTCCAAATTATATGGATAGTTTGCACATGCACATTGAAGTGACATTTGTCCTTTATTAAACATGCACAATGTCTTGAATTGAATAAATACACCTAGATGGTAAAATAGTATAGTGAAATAAATCATGTAACAAATACCATTTCTCATATAGTATAATAGACAGCAAATTCAAGTATACAATCCCACCTTCATATTACCAAGTGAAATACTGAATAAAGGTGTATATATATCTAGTACTATTATAAAGAGAAGTCTTGTCTGGGTGTTTGTCTCATATTTTGGGTTTTCTATTAGATAATTTTCTCAATTTTGTAAGATAATTTCGCAAACTGAGAAATTGTTAGTTTTGTATAACTAAAAAAATAATATTTTATTTTTATTAAATTTTGTATTCAATATTGGTCATGTTTGATAAATCTCATTGTATAGACTCGAAAAATATATATTTTATTAAAAATAATTGTGTATAATAAAAAATTATGAAATTTTAAGTTTTGAAAAAAAATATAAAAAAAAAAAAACAAAAGTAAAATTCCACATCAGCAATACTATTTGAATAAGAGAAAATATCTAGTACTTTTGAGGCATGGTTAGGTGATTTTCAAAATATTTATAATTGATGGGGAGGGTAGGGCCTACAATTTTGTATTACGGTATAATGCTTTGTGATTAGTGGATAACATTGTCATGTGGTGCACTTGTAACACCTAATAATTTTCTACTAACACTCAAGGAATTGACAATTCCTTCTTCTTTTAATAAAGGTAAAACAGTTTTACATAAATAAATATTTTGAAAATAAGATTTTATGGGTTAACGAAAAAAAAAAGAGAACTTAATGGAACATGAACATTACCAATAGGACTTTTAAGTAATTAACCCAATTTTTAAGACTTCTTCCTTAAAATTTAAGACAGACAAAAAGAAAATTTGATATTGAAATTAAATTTAAAAACAAAAAATTAATAGAGCAGCGATATATACTGACAAAATTTGTATAAATTTTTTGATGTGGATCTTTCCCCTAAAAAAAATGTTGATTTTCATTTGTAATAAAAAACAAATTGAATCCCTAGTCATGCAGTTTGCTTCTTGTCTCAAATCAATTTGATTCTTGAAGCTCTAATTGCATCAACTTTTATTCTTTAATTTTACACAATGCATGAATTAAGTGTAATGAATAATATCTATTAAGAGATTAGATCAAAATCAAAGGCAAAATAATTACTTCAAAAGGAAATATATCACTCACACTAATCCCTTAATTACTTTGAGAATAATAAATTGACTATTTTAGTTTTGATTTTAATCCAATTTCTAAACACTGAATAAAAGTGAAATACTGAATAAAATTGACTTTAAGAGAACATGATTTTTTTTTTTAAATTGACTTTATAAGAACATTATTTCTTTCTTTTTTTCAAAACTCAAATTTTGAATTTTTCAAATTCATTTCAATTTTCAGATTTTGAATTCAATCATACAGCTTACAGTCTTATTTTCTAAAACAAAATGATCATATACATGTAAGCATGTAAACCTCGAATTGAAATTGTCAATCCACCTTAATTCTGAATTCATGAATTTCATAATATGAATATCAATTCTCAATTCTCAATTATATGAATTTCATTATATGACATTAACGTCATAATATGAATATCAATTCTCAATTCTCAATTATATGAATTTCATTATATGACATTAACAATTCTCAATTATATGAATTTCCATTCGCATAATTTTATTCTTAATTAGAAAAAATTCCCTTTATTTACAAGCAAAAAATAAAATTTCCAATTCAACAAATATATGTTGGTTTATTCACAATCCAAAATTCCAAACCCTAATTTCAAAAAATATAGAATAATTTCAACAAATTGAAAACCCTAAGTTAACCACAAGCATAATTTAACCACAAGAATAATTTCAACAAATTGAAAACCCTAATTCCAAACCCTAATTTGAAATTTCTACATAACACAATAATTACCAATTCAAAACCCTAATTACCAAACCCTAATTTCTACATAACCCTAATTCCAAACCGTAATTACCAATTCAAAACCACACATTCACAATTTCTGCATGAAAGCGAGAGTGAGAATCTGAGAGCAGAGGGAAAAGCGAGAGTGAGAGTGAGAGGAAAGAGAAAAAAACTTAAGTGTAAAAACGTGATTGCAGATAAAGACGTTGGGGTTTTATATAAATTGTAAAAGCGTGATTTCAATCCATACTTTCATTAATCAACAGTGAAAACGTGATTGTGAATCACATTTTTTTAAGAAAATGAATATGTACAATGAAAGCGTAGTTCAGAACCATACTTTCTTCAAAAAACAAATTAAACGACATACACAGTAAAAACGTAGTTTGGAACTTTGTTTTTTTCGAAAAAAAAAATTTATGCTAAAAGCGTGATTTGCAAACACGCTTTCTTAATTAAAAGTGTGATTTCTAATAACACTTTCACTATTCATCAAATTTTCGACCCCAAACAGTGAAAACGTGATTTGTAATAACACTTTAACCTAGTTTAAAAATTCCGTCCAAACTAAGCTTAGTTTGAAAATTAAGAGACGAATTGACTTAATATGAAAAAAAGCCCGTGCATTTGTCTGTATTTTATACTGCAATGATTTTTTTTTTTTTTTTTTTTTTTTACAGCACTTATGGTCTGCTATCATTTCATAAATTTTTGTCCTTTTTTAAAACCAAAAGCTAAAATTAAAATTGAACAACTAGTTTAGTACAAGGGCATGTGAACATCCTAATATTCTGACTATCAACCTGCGTTTGATTTAGCATGTAAAACGCAGTTATTTTCATTCACATTTCTACTTTCTTTTATTTCCTTTTCCAATTTTTTTTATTTCTTTTTTCAAATCCATGAACCAAACACAACCTTAACCTCATAGTACACGCATTTTTAATTCTTATGCAATTTTCTAATACAAAAGAACCGTTAAAAAAAAATTTAGTGGTTACATACTGAAAATGCCATATAACAAATTAAGAATTTACAAAGAATATCAATCAAATTGAAAACATTAAAAGGATCACAAAACCAACAAATTTACATGGTTCGACAAAAATGCCTACATCTATGGAGAGAGAAAATATGTCCATTATTAAATCAATGAAGATTTTACAAGGAGAGGGAAAAAACAAAAAAAAAAAAAATTAACAATATAAGTAACAAAATGAATTGTCCCCAACCAATAAAATGGAACAGTGAAACCCAAACACTTAAAAATCCTTAAAAACCAAAAATAATTAACTCAAATTATCCACAACAAAGGTCTAACAATACTTTCTATAGTAAAATTTATACAATACTCCCAAGAACTCTGAACTATAGGAGATCTCTATCAATTCTGGCTTGCCATTCAACGTGATATTCTTCCAATCCTTGCCATTCATCACATCCCAGAATCCAGTTCAAGCTATCCTATCCCCCTAGTTACATAACCCAGGATGGTCAATATAAACTTTGGAATTGACAAGCAAACTTGCTAATCAATTAAGTACTCTGGTGAAGGAAACTCTTACAAGTGGTTATGCCGCAGCTCCCATACAAATTCATCTACAATCAAATCAGCTGCAACAGACCAAAATAGAGAAGTACAAAACAAACCTAAGTACATAAATAAAATTACTAACAAAACCCACCCCAATAAAACAATAACAAGAGGATAAATTCAGCATCAACAAAAACGTATCTTAGATTTGCAGAAAATAAACTTTCGGTTACAAACAAGAACATCATAAAACACAATTACAAACAACAAAGAACACTAAAAACAGATGGCCAATCATCAACTCCTCAAAAAAAATTGAAAATAATGCTATTTCTATACTATTATATTATATATATATATATATATATACATGCACCATATTAAAATGGGAACATAACAGTAAATACAAAATCCCAAAAGAGAGTACAGCATACAGTTACCTCTCACCTTTCAAACCATGTTTAATTCTTCTAATCCTTGGCATTCATATCCAAAAATCTACATCAGAGCCCATGGAGAAAATAAATTATCCAAGGATAAACTACCAATAAGTCCCAATAGTTAGAATTAATTCTCATCAAATCCTATTAAAAATAAATCCTAGAAAAATTATCACTAAAAATAATTTTGCTTAATTTTTCAGATCAGAATCTTCAAAAATTAGCACTAACCTTCCCACCAGTTACAATTGATAAGGGGGACAGAGGTCATACAAGACCAAACAGAAACAAAAATCTCAAGTACAACAGAGTGGTTAGTGCAAGAAAGGGTTTTGCACCTGCTTGCAAGGCGAACGATGAAACCTTTAAAATAAAATAAAAAAACACAGAAAAAGCAAGCACCTTCCAATCAATATAACCAAAATTTTGCTTGATTTTTCAGATCAGAATCTTCAAAAAGACTCCATTGCACTAGTCCCTATTTTTATACCCTTGCCAAATAACCAATGATAAAATATCCAAAATAATAAGAAAAAAAACCTTAAATCTTCATTTATACAAATTCATAAAGAAACTTACCTGTCGTGCAGCTGGAATCCTCCTTTTTTAAACATGCATATTGAATATGAATCAGAAAGAAACTAGAATCCTTACAATGCTTCACATCTATTTATTTCTAACAATGTTTCGCCATCCAAGACCAGCATAGGATAATTCTGCATACCTTGGGCAAATTGCTAACAAAATTCCACAAGACCTGTTAAACTAAATTTTAGAACTCCACCTAAAATTCAGAGAAGACAGAAGGGATTAGGGTGTAAAAACCAAAAAAATTGAACAATGGCAGTGAACTAACAATATACAGCTGACCGGTTTGGCAGAAAGTACTACAACATGTTCCGTCCTTCAAAGACAATCACCAGTAGGGGAAAAAATGAACAAAATGATAAATAAAAAAGATAAGAATAGGATTGCAAAAAAGAAAGGAGGGTAGAGAATTAAATTTGAGAAGCAAACATAGGAGACGAAGACGTGCAAACCAGGCATAACTAATACAAATACACGAGCATTTCTGTCCTCCATCCCTATATTGAGCAAGCCATGCTATAATAAAAAATTGTGATCCAAACACACCCACAAAGCCTTAAAAAGTAATGAAATCAAATAATCCACAAAGGGCTAATCATACTGCTACATTAAAATTTTGGAAACATACACATGTAGCAGGACAACCAGAACAAAACCAGCTTGCCATTCAATATGAAATTCTTCTAATCATCAGTGTGTTTGGTTTGAGTTTTTTGAATTAAATTTTTTGAAAACTCAGTTTTTTGGTTTTCTTATTTTTTTGTTTTTAGTGAATATTTTTAAAATTTTAAACATTTTTTTTTACTTATTTAGATGCACCTTATTTAGATGTATCTAAAAAGTAAAAAATTTGTGAAAAAAATATTTTAAAATTTTAAAAAAAAACAAAAAATGTACTAAATTCTCGTTTTTTTTTTTTGTATTTTTGATATTTAGTGAATTTCTAAAAGATTTTTTTCATAAATTTTTTACTTTTTAAGTATATTTATGTTAAGTATGTCTAAAAAGTAAAAAAAATTGCTTAAAATATTAAAAAAAATTCAGTAAAAACAAAAAAACAGAAAAAATAAGAAATTAAATTTTTTTGAAAAATGTTTTTGAAAAAACACAACCAAGCAAGCTGTCCAAAAATGTTTTCTCAATCTGCTGAAACAGACCAAATTAAAGAATCCAACGAAGACCAGACAATAAAAAAAAAAAAATTTGGCAAGGTAATAAGCCCCATACAAGACCCCTAGCAAACATTCCACAAAGTACAATTGATAAGAGGATAACATAATAAAAAATTCGAAGGTACTTAAATATAAAGAAGGAAAAGAACAAGAGATGATAAAACCCGAGAAGGAAAGACAATATATACTCCATTGCACTAGCCGCTATCCTTATTCCCTAACTGATTTGATAAGGGGACAGGCAGCATACAAGACCTGCAATTAAAAATTTAAGGTACATGGAAAAAAGAAAGAAAAAAGGGAAAGAACTTAGTCAAATGCTAAGGATGAAACCAAGAGAGGAGAGTAGGAAATCCAAACCAATATACCCCAAATTTTGCTCATTTTTTGGAACCAATGCCAACAGATCTTCAAAAAGACAACGTACTCCATTGCAGTAGTCTCCAATCTTTGTTCCCTAACTGAATAATCGAATTTCAGAGTAGGAAATCCAAACCAATATACCCCAAATTTTGCTCATTTTTTGGAATCAATGCCAACAGATCTTCAAAAAGACAACATACACCACTGCAGTAGTCTCCAAACTTTGTTCCCCAACGGAATAATCAATTATCAAATTTTTCCATTTAAATTATAAAAAAAAACTAAATATATTTTAATAAATATAAATAGTAAATAAAAACACCATTTGCCATTCCACTAACCACTGCTATGCAAAGACCTAACAGAACCAAAAACCCCGTGGTATTGAAAACCAATAAACCAGTTCAATAAAAATTACCAGCAAAAACTGAGCAAAAACTGGAAAGAATAAACAAGTTGTTTACATCTGGCAACAAACAAACAAGGCACTAACCTTTCCACTAGGTACAACTGGTAAGAGTAGAACTTGGTACAGGACACAACAGATGGGAAAGGTTTCAAGTCTGGCGCAACACTATAAATAAAAATTGAAAGGGAACGTAGCATTCCCAATCAACACGCCAAAAATTCTAAATAATTTTTTTTTGTTTGGGAGAAAAAAAATGCGAACAAAAATAAGTGTACCGCAGACAAATTGCGAACAAAATACCCAAAGTGATTGGGTGACTGTACCTCTCATCCACTCACTAAAAATAAATGTCTACTTCTTTTGAGATCACAACACTTACATGCATACTGATATTGAATATAAATTCAGAAAGAAACTTACTTGTCATGCAGCTGGAATCCTATTTTTTTAAAGTATGCATATTGAACCTCACCTGGTAAACTGAAGTTTAGGACCTCCAACGAAAATTGAGAGAAGACATAAGGGAATAGGGGGTCAAAACCAATACACTGAATAATGAAAGTGAATTAACATATACGGCTGACCGGTTCACCCACAGGTGCTACAACATACTCCATCCTTCAAAGATGACCATTAGTAGGGGGGGAAAAAGATATGAAAAGGATAGCAAAATAGAAGGGAGAAGTGGAGATGAGCGTTAATTTTGACTTACAAAGGAAGACATGCAAAAGCCAATATTTCAACAAATCTGATGCAACAAGCCAAAATAAAAACCATACCTACGAAACAATAAACAAGGTTATGTATTAAACTACAACTAACATCATATCCATAGACTTCCTCTCCATAGGCTTGCCAAAAACAACTTTTGAAGCACACCATATAAAATAAAAAACAATACACAACACTATCCACCAAGGAAGGTTCTGAAAAGCGGCTGCGATCGCCGTAACGGTGGCGATAACGCGGTTGCGGTTGCAGGTGTAAAGGCCGTAGTGTAACAGTTGCAGTAACCGGAACCGTGAATTTTTTTATTTTTCGCATAATTTGAAAAAAACTTACCGATACGCATATTTTTTTCCATAATTATATTTATTGGGTTAAAAATAAATACTGATCAATTTTTGTAAATTTTTAAGTATGATCCAATATATTTCATATTTTTAAATCACTATAAATTAAATTTTTTATATTTTATTTTAATAATTAATGACTATATTATACAAAAAATTAATTACTAACGATTATATACCAGATTAACAATGACAAAAATAAGAGAATAAATAAGAACCTAAATATATATATATGTATACATATTTTAACCAAACCAAATAGATAATGATCACACTTATTATTGTTATTATTTTCAAACAATATATAGATAGACACACACAAACAAAATGATTTACTAATAGCAGCTGAATAGAATAGCATAGGTCTTACAGCTTCAACAAATCAATAACATGTTCTTCATCTTTCCTCTTATCTCTCTCTATCTTTTGCTCCTCCATTTTCTCTCTTTATCTTCTATTTTCTCTCTATCCCTCTTCCCCCATTTTCAGCTTTCTTTTGTGTGTTTTTTCGAAAGAAACAGTTTGGAACCGTTACGTAACGGTGCGTAACAGGCCGTTACGACTGTTACAGCACCGTTACGACCGCTACGGCAACCGCTACGGCCGACACACCTGTGAATCTCAATCACACTACAAAAGCGACCGTAACGGATGGCAGTCACTGCCAAAACCGTTACGTAACGGTTGCGACCGCTTTTTAAAACCTCTCCAAGACGCTAGCCTTTCCACCAGCGACAATTGACAAGGAGATAACCTCCATACAGGACCTAACATAATAACCTAACAGAATCAAAAAACCCCAAGGGTAGAAAGCAAATAACTGAACCACTTGTAATCGGAAATATTGATGTTACATGAGTCCTAAAAGGAACTAGTCATGCAGCTGGAAAGTCATGCAGCTGGAAACCTCTATTTTTAAGCATGTATACGGATAAGGAATATGAATCAAAAAGAAACTAGAAGCCTTACAATGTTTCCTAACAATGATCCGCCATCCATGATCAGAATGGGATATAATCCTGCATACCTTTGGCAAATTGCTCACAAAATTTCATATGAGAGTGTGGACTGCAGTACAGCTCATCTGTTAGACTAAGCCTAAAAAAACTGAAAGAAGACCGGAGGAGGGGGCAAAAACACCACCAAAAAATTAAAAAAAATTAAAAAATCAAAAAATCAAAAATCAACAATGAAAGTGAATTAGCATATCCGGCTACCAGTTTATCAACAAGTAGAGCTACATGTTCCATATCCTTAAAAGACAACCAATTAGTAGAAGAAAATATGTGAACAAAATAACAAATAGAAAATATATGATCGGGACTGCAAAAGAGGAGGAAGGGGGGAGGGTTAATTTTGAGATATCACGTAGGAGGGGAAGACGTGCAAACCAGGCATAACTCATTCAAAATTTACAGGCATTTCTGTCCTCCACCCCTACATCAAATCTGCCAAGCAATAAATACAAATTTGTGAATCCCTAACACTAAAAACACCTTAAAATGATGAAATCAAATAAAAAACAAACAAGGGTTAATCATACTGCTACATCAAATTAAAAGTTAGGAAAAGCAGTAAAGTTAGGAAAAGCAGCACCCTGTGACGCAACTCATCCCCAACAAAATCAAATTTGCCATTCATCTTGATATTCTTCTTCTAACCTTTGGCATTCAGTGCCCAAAATATAGATCAGAATCGTTCCCTAGTTGCATAACCAATGCAAGTGAACAACATTATCATAATTCACTAGCAACTAACAAATAAAGTCGAAACAGTTTATGAAAAACAATATTAATAAGTTCCATCAAACTTTAACAAGGTTTACGCCAATAGTTGAAAAACATCATTGTCGTAGTTCTTGCAACAACTCTCCAATAAAGTTGATCCACACTCCCAGATATGCTGCAAAAACCCCATGGTATTGAAAACCAATAAACCAGCTCAATAAAAATTACCAGCAAAACCCAGATGTTTTCATCTACTGCAACAAACATGTGCCTAGATTTGCCTAAAAAAAATTGGTGGCAAACAAGGCACTAACCTTTCCACTAGGTACAACTGGTGTAAGTGTAGGACACAACAGATGGAAGAATTTGAGTCCAGCACAACACTAAAAATAAAAATTGAAAAGAAAAGTAGAACTTCCAATCAAAACACCAAAAATTCTATTTTTTTTTTTTTAAATAAATGCCAACAAATCTTCAAAAAAGATACTTGAATAATAATAAATTGGAAGCAAGCCTGAATATAGAACACATGATAAAAGCCAAAAAAATCCAGGACAAAAACCATTATTTACTATAAAACCCTAAATCAAAGAAAAATCCAAAAACCAATATTCCAAAAATAAAATTTCGAATTCCTCCATCACCAAACCAAAAAATCCAATATCCTAAATCGAAACCAATCTAAAGAACAACTCGAAGATTTCAAAGAATTTCATAGGAAAAGTAACCCATACAAACTCGAATTCATATTCCAAATTATCATATCTTGGATGATCCTTTAAAATCAGCCAGAAATTGTATCTACACAATGCTTCACAATCCATGATCAGAATGGGATATAATTCGGCATACCTTCGGCAAATTGCTAACAAAATTTCATGTGTGTGGATGGCAGTACGTCTCATCTGCCTAATAAAACTCAGAGAACACGGAAGTAGGGGGGTAGTGGGTGGGGGTAAAAACACCACCAAAAACCCACAAAAGAGAAGGAAAAAAAAAAAAAAATCAACAACAAAAGGGAATTAGCATATACGGCTACCAGTTTATCAACAGGTACGCCTACATGTTCTATGTCCTTCAAAGACAACCAATTAGTAGAAGAAAAAAATGTGAACAAAATGAAAAATAAAAAAGATATGAGCACGATTGCAAAAGAGGACGAAGGGAAGAATGTTAATTTTAAGATACAATCATAGGAGGGGAAGACGTGCAAAACAGGCATAACTAATTCAAAATTTACAGGCATTTCTGTCCTGCATCCCTACATCAAATCTGCCAAGCAATAATACTCATTCGTGAATCCCAATCACTAAAAAAACCTTAAAATAATGAAATCAAATAAGAAACAAACAAGGGCTAATCATACTGCTACATCAAATCAAAAGTTAAGAAAAGCAGCACCCTGTGACGCAAGTCATCCCCAACAAAATCAAATTTGCCATTCATCATGAAATTCTTCTAATCTTTAGCATTCAGTGCCCAAAATATAGATCAGAGTCGTTCCCTAGTAGCATAACCAATGCAAGTGAACATCATCATAATTCACTAGCAACTAACGAAGAAAATCGAAATAGTTTATGGAAAAACGATATTAATAAGTTGCACCAAATTTTTACGAGGGTTACGCCAACAGTTGAAAAACATCATTGTCGTAGTTCCCGTAACAACTCTCCAAAAAACTTCATCCATACTCCCAGATATGCTGCAAAAAACCTGTGGTATTGAAAACCAATATACCAGATCAATAAAAATCACCAGCAAAACCCATATGTTTTCATCTGCACCAAACATGTGCTTAGATTTGCCTAAAAAAATTTGGTAGCAAACAAGGCACTAACCTTTCCACTAGGTACAACTGGTGTAAGAGTAAGAGTAGAACTTGGTCCACGACACAACAGATGGAAGGTTTTGAGTCTAGCGCAACACTAAAAATAAAAATTGAATGGAAAAGTAGAACTCCCAATCAAAACAACAAAAAAAGAAAATATAATAAATGCCAACAAATCTTCAAAAACGATACTTGAATAATAAATAATAATAATAAATTGAAAGTAAGCCTGAATCTTTTGATAAGCAAAGACCGTTTTCCTCTTAAAAAATCACCTACAAAACTACCTGCATGGATGACTCCGAGAGAACAAATTATCTACTATTACACAAAAAATATCTTACAAATATAGAACAACTCAAATAAAAATCTTACCAGAAGAGATTGGGTGACTGTACCTCTCATCAACTCACTAAACTTAATTACGAGTAACCAAAGAAAAATGGGACAGGGGAAACCAAAAAAGGGACAAGTAAACAAATAGGTCTGACCAGTTCAACAGCAGGTACTGCAATCCTTTAAAATGTAGACCTCTAACAGAGACAAAAGTTACTAACAGCATTGAAAGAGACGGAAAATATATCAATTGACTAAACAATTGAGATGAAAACATCTGAAAAAAGATGTTTCAAACCAGGCATAACTGATCTCAAATTCCCAAGCATTCCGCCCTCCATCCCTCTATTGAATCAATCATCAATCAAACTAATAAACAGAAAACTTACTAACTCGCAACCAATTACAGTCTTTATACCTGAACCTAATAAACGGAAAACATACTAACCCACAACCAATTACACTCTTTATACCTGAACCTTAATATAGAAAGAACAAATGGTCAAAGCCTAAAAATCCAGGACAAAACCCAATATATGCCATAGACCCAGCTTATTACCAACTTGAATACAACATCCCATGGAATTTTTACGTAAAGCTTCTTATAAGAATAATTCACAAACTGCAATTTAGGGTTTAGGAAAATTTTGGATAATAAGGGACAAGAGTGACCAGAATCCAACAGAACAAATTAGAGCGAGTAATCTTCCATGAAATATCCAAAAGCCACATTTCAAAAAGAAAATCTCGAACTCCTGCAACATCCAACCAAAAAATCCAATATCCTAAATTGAAATTTACAAACCAATACAGCACAACTAGAAAATTTTCAAAGAATTTCACGGGAAAAGTAACCCATACCAACTCGAATTCATATTCCAAATTAGGATATCTTTGATGATCCTTCAAAATCAGCCAGAAATTGTATCTACACAATGATTCGCCATCCATGATCAGAATGGGATATAATTATGCATACCTTTGGCAAGTTGCTTAGAAAATTTTGTGCAAGTGTGGATGGGAGTACATCTATCTGCCTAATAAAACCAAGAGAAGAGAGAAGGAAGTAGGGGGTAAGGGGTCCCCAAAAATTAAAAAAAAAACAATGTAGTGAATTAGCATATACGGCTACCAGTGTATCAATAGGTACAGCTGCATGTTCTATGTTCTTCAAAGACAAACACCTAGTAGTAAAAAAAAAAATGTGAACAACATGAAAAATAAAAAAGTTATGAGCAGGGTTGCAAAAGAGGAGGAAGTGTTAATTTTGAGGTGCAAACATAGGAGGAGAAGACGCAAACCAGGCATAACTAATTCAAAATTTACAGCATTTCTGTACTTCAATCTGCCAAGCAATAATACAAATTTGTGAATCCCAAACACTTAAAAAACCTTAAAATCAAATAATAAACAAACAAGGCTAATCATAAGCGTACATCAAATTAAAAGTTACGACAAGCAGCACCAGCACCGTGTGACGTAAGTCATCCCAAACGAAATCACATTTGCCATTCATCTTGATATTCTTCTTCTAATCCTTAGCATTCAGTGCCCAAAATATAGATCAGAGTCGTTCCCTAGTTGCATAACCAGTGCAAGTGAACAACATCATAATTCACTAGCAACTAGTGAATAAAATCGAAATAGTTTATGAAAAAACAATATTAATAAGTCACATCAAATTTTTATGAGTGTTACGCCAAGCTAAAAGGCGAATAAAACAAATATCACATCCAAAGCATATAATCATATTATTGTAAGGTTTCACCCCCCACCCCCTACCCCCCTAGGTACTACTGGTGTAAGAGCAGAACTTGGTGCAGGACACAACAGATGGAAGGAATTGAGTCTGGTGCAACACTGAAAATAAAAATTGAAAGGAAAAGTAGAACTTCCAATCAAAACACCAAAAATTCTATTTTTTTTTAAATAAATGCCAACAACTCTTCAGAAAAGATACTTGAATAATAAATAATAAATTGGAAGTAAGCCTCAATCTTTTGATAAGCAAAGCCCGTTTTCCCCTTTAAGAATCACCTACAAAACTACCTGCATGGACAATTCGGAGAGAACAAATTACCTACTATTACACAAAATATCTTACAAATATAGAACAACTCTCTTTTTAAAGCACGCATATTCATAATACTGAATATTAATCCAAAAGGAAACTTACAAGAGTCCCATAGCCATGCAACTCTACAACCATTAATGTTTCACCATCCATGTTGTGTAGCAACATTCTATGCACCGCAGACAAATTGCTAACAAAATACCAGAAGAGATTGGGTGACTGTACCTCTCATTCACTCACTAAAATTAATTACAAGTAATTAAAAGAAAATGGGGCAGGGGAAACCCAAAAAAGGACAAATAAACAAATAGATCTGACCAGTTCAACAGCAGGTACTGAAATCCTTTAAAATGTAGACATCTAACAGTAAGATAAAAGTTACTAACAGCATTGAAAAGAGACTGGAAATATATCAATGACTCAACAATTGAGATGCAAACATGTGAAAAAAGATGTTTCAAACCAGGCATAACTGATCTCAAATTCCCAAGCATTCTATCCTCCATCCCTCCATTGAATCAATCATCAATCAAACTAAGAAACAGAAAACTTACTAACTCGCAACCAATTACAGTCTTTATACCTGAACCTAATAAACGGAAAACATACTAACCCACAACCAATTACACTCTTTATACCTGAACCTTAATATAGAAAGAACAAATGGTCAAAGCCTAAAAAATCCAGGACAAAACCCAATATATGCCATAAACCCAGCTTATTACCAACTTGAATACAACATCCCATGGAATTTTTACGTAAAGCTTCTTATAAGAATAATTCACAAACTGCAATTTAGGGTTTAGGAAAATTTTGGATAATAAGGGACAAGAGTGACCAGAATCCAACAGAACAAATTAGAGCGAGTAATCTTCCATGAAATATCCAAAAGCCACATTTCAAAAAGAAAATCTCGAAGTCCTGCAACATCCAACCAAAAAATCCAATATCCTATATTGAAATTTACAAACCAATATAGCACAACTAGAAAATTTTCAAAGAATTTCACGGGAAAAGTAACCCATACCAACTCGAATTCATATTCCAAATTAGGATATCTTTGATGATCCTTCAAAATCAGCCAGAAATTGTATCTACACAATGATTCGCCATCCATGATCAGAATGGTATATAATTATGCATACCTTTGGCAAGTTGCTTAGAAAATTTTGTGCAAGTGTGGATGGGAGTACATCTATCTGCCTAATAAAACCAAGAGGAGAGAAGGAAGTAGGGGTAAGGGGTCCCCAAAAATAAAAAAAAACAATGAAGTGAGTTAGCATATACGGCTACCAGTGTATCAATAGGTACAGCTACATGTTCTATGTCCTTCAAAGACAAACACCTAGTAGTAAAAAAAAAAATGTGAACAACATGAAAAATAAAAAAGATATGAGCAGGGCTGCAAAAGAGGAGGAAGGGGGTGTTAATTTTGAGGTGCAAACATAGGAAGAGGAGACGTGCAAACCAGGCATAACTAATTCAAAATTTACAGCATTTCTGTACTTAAATCTGCCAAGCAATAATACAAATTTGTGAATCCCAAACACTTAAAAAACCTTAAAATCAAATAATAAACAAACAAGGGCTAATCATAAGCGGACATCAAATTAAAAGTTACGAAAAGCAGCACCGTGTGACGTAAGTCATCCCAAACGAAATCACATTTGCCATTCATCTTGATATTCTTCTTCTAATCCTTAGCATTCAGTGCCCAAAATATAGATCAGAGTCGTTCCCTAGTTGCATAACCAGTGCAAGTGAACATCATCATAATTCACTAGCAACTAGTGAATAAAATCGAAATAGTTTACGAAAAAACAATATTAATAAGTCACATCAAATTTTTATGAGTGTTACGCCAACAGTTGAAAAAATCATTGTCGTAGTTCCCGCAACTCTCCAAGAAAGCTCATCCACACTGGCAGATATGTTGCAAAACCCCCGTGCTATTGAAAACCAATATACCAGCTCAATAAAAATTACCAGCAAAACCCATATGTTTTCATCTGCAACAAACATGTGCTTAGATTTGCCTTAAAAAAAATTGCTGGCAAACAAGGCACTAACCTTTCCACCAAGTACAACTGGTGTAAGAGTAGAACTTGGTCCAGGACACAACAGATGGAAGGTTTTAAGTCTGGCGCAACACTAAAAATAAAAACTGAAAAGAAAAGTAGAAATCCCAATAAAAACACTCAAAAAAAAAAATTTAAAAATAAATGCCACCAAATCTTCAAAAACAATACTTGAATAATAAATGATAATAATAATAAATTGGAAGTAAGCCTGAATCTTTTGATGAGCAAAGCGTTTTCCTCTTAAAAAATCACCTACAAGACAAACTGCATGGACGACTTCGAGAGAACAAATTATCTACTATTACATAAAAAATACCTTACAAATATAGAACAACTCTCTTTTTTAGCACGCATATTCATAATACTGAATATTAATGCAGAAAGAAACTTACAACAGTCCTGTAGCCATGCAACTCTACAACCTTTCAATGTTTCACCATCCATGTTTTGTGTAGCAACATTCTATGTACTGCAGACACAAATTGCTAACAAAAATCCCGAAGAGATTTGGTGACTGTACCTCTCGTCCACTCACTAAAATTAATTAAAAGTAACCAAAAAAGGACAAACAAACAAACAGATCTGACCAGTTCAACAGCAGGTACTGCAATCTTTCAAAATGTAGAACTCTAAAGATACCAACAGTATTGAAAAGAGACAGAAAATATATCAATGACTCAACAATTGAGATGCAAACATGTGAAAAAAATATGTTTCAAACCAGGCATAACTGATCTCAAATTCCTAGGCATTCCGCCCTCCGTCCCTATATTGAATCAATCATTAATCAAATTAATAAACGGAAAACTTACTAACCCACACAACCAATTACACTCTTTATACCTGAACCTGAATATATAAAGAACACATGATCAAAGCCTAAAAAATCCAGGACAAAACCCAATATATACTATAAACCCTAAATCAAATAGAACAGATAGCTTATTACCGACTTCAATGCATCATCCCGTGGAATTTTTACCGTAAAACTTCTTATAAGAAAAATTCACAAACTGCAATTTAGGGTTTAGGGAAAAATTGGATAATAATTGTCAGGGACAAGAGTTACCAGAATCCAACAAAACACCTCACCGAAGGCACATATATTAGAGCGAGTAATCTTCTATGAAAAATCCAAAAACCATATTTCAAAAAGCAAATCTCGAATTCCTGCATCATCCAACCAAAAAATCCAATATCCTAAATCGAAATTTAGAAGCCAATCTAAAGCACAACTCGAAGATTTCAAAGAAATTCACGGGAAAAGTAACCCATACCAACTTGAATTCATATTCCAAATTATGAATCTCTGATGATCCTTCAAAATCAGCTTGAAATTGTATCTACACAATACGAAATCGCCATATCGCAAACATAAGCAGATCAACTAATAAAAGAATCAGAGCGCAAACAAAATCCCTAGATATGCTGCAAGAAAGAAAAGGACCGAAAGCAATGTCTTTGATGATCGTTCAAATCAAAACCTGAAACTGTATCTACGCAATACGAAAACACAAAACCAGAAACGAATCAGAGCGCAAACTGAATTTCCAAAAGCCGAAGACATAGACCCCTAGAAAAACTTACCACAACTCCCAGATGCCTGAAACTAGGCATGATCGGAAGGTACCCGATGTGCGGGCTATTTATAGATGAGGTCGGTGTAAAGGCGCGGCTAGGATTAAGCGGTGATCCGAGATCGAACGGTTGAAACGTGTCCTTATCTTTAAAGGATTTGACCAAGCAAAGGAAAACGAAAAGGACAGGGAAAATTGGTTACGTGTTTATTGTGGCGCTGGACCCGATCATAAAGCTGTCCACGCGTGGTTTTTTTATTTTTTTATAAATAAATAAATATAAATCGACGGCTGATGTCACGCCAGCTGGCTCGTGGTCGGTTGTTGATAGTATTTGTGTTTTCGTTCTGAGCCACAGGTATTGTTGGTAAAGTCATACCTGGGGGCGCCCCTGGTCAATAATGGAGGTCTGTGGGCTGCAATTGGGTGGCCCAATGAATTGGAAATGATTGCCAAAAAAAAACACCAATGTGGACCCAATGAACTACAATGGGCTGGCTTATCTCGTGAATCGAAAATAAGAGGTTGTTTAAAATGATTTAAATAAATATATTTTTTAATTTTTTATGAAATATGAATTAAATTTTGGTTAAATTTAAAGTGATATATTAAAATAATAATGTGATGTAAATAAAATAATAAAACTTAAATAGAATAGTGATTTATTAATTTTTTGACTTTATCAAAACTTGTCAAATCAGTTCAAACCTTCCTCACATTTCTATGGTGAGCCGATAGATAATACAAATGTGGTGCAAGTGATGCCTATGGCCTATGGCCTATGGGTCTCGTATTTGGAATTGGTTTTCGGTGTTTTAAAAAAATATACTTTTTATCTTTTTATGAAAAAATGTGCAGAAAAGTAGAGAGGTGATGTGATGAAAAAAAATAAAAAAATAAAAAGATGAATTATAATAGTGTACCTCAAACCAACCCTGATCACTGAGCGTGAGAATTAGGAGGGAAAAAAACAAAAAGGTGGCTAGTTTTATTGATATCAATAATTTTTTAAATAAATGTTTGAAAATTTATAGGACCTTTAAAAAATTATATATAACTTACATGTATTCAAATTTATACAGTTCAATCTTATGTGAAAGAATTAAATACTTATAAGTCATGTGCATTTTTTTAATGTAGTGATAAGTTTTAAAAGCGAATTACATTACAGTGGTTTTTGTTTTGAGGGATTGAGTCATGAGATTGGACTAATAATTTATCCAGACTAATAGTTCATTATTTGGTTCAAAAATTTTACTCCGGACTATTAGTCCCAAATGTCTTAGACTATTGTGTCCCATGGAGGGTGGGACACAAATGAGGGATATGGGATTAAGTGGTGAAACAACTATCTTGATCCTCTATTATTTAATTATATATTATATTTAGTAAAATTTAATAAAATTTAAATGTCTCAATTTAAAAATAAAATAATTTTTTTAAATTTTTATTTATTTAAATTTTAAAATAATTTTTTATAGATATTTTATTGATGTTTTACTTTAAAATTTTGTTTATATTTTATTTAATTTCATTATTTAAATTTTAATAGATGTTGTTTTTGATTTCATTGTTTAATTATTATTTTTTAAAAAAATAAATTTATTTAAAATTTTAATTAAAAAATAACATATATTTTTATTGATATTTTATTTATTTAATTTTTTTAAAAAAAATTATTTAATTGTGCACAAAATAAAATAAAATGCATTTTTATTTAATCCAACTAAAAATAATTAAAATATTAAAGATATGTTTAATATTGCTATTACTGTAACACCCTAAATATTTAATTAATATCACAACCAATCATGATAATAATATTAATACTAGTGGGAGTGATAGTAAAATAAAATAATTAATTTTATGTCGGTATGCGATAAAGTGTCATTTAATTAGGAATTAGTTTGTGTTTTTATCAAACGAGAGGAAATATAATTACTTTAAAGAATTGGGGCCAAAGTATAATTACCGCAAATGTTAATTAGATAAGCATCAGGATTTACAATCAAAATCTAGGGATTTGCGCCGTGGACATGTGTTGGCCCGATGGCACTATTGTCTCCCTATAAATAAGGAGGAGTTGAGCAAGATGAGTGCCAAATAAGAAAGGAAAAAGCACGCAAGATAGGAAACTAAGAGTAAGAAAGTTTGTGATAGTGGAAACTAAAGGCTAAGGGTCAATATTAAGATGAGTTATATTGTACCTTGAGTCACTATAATATATTTTACGTATGTTTTGGGTTACCATAATTTATTTTGCGCAATCTATATTTTATAAATTATATTATATTTTGATTTCGTTAATTATTATCTAAACTCTATTTGTGTAGCGATTCTAATTTTCTTAAATCATTATTTTTTATTATTATGATTATTATTATCTTATTTTATTTTTGATTTTATTAATTGTGAGGTCACATGAAAAGTTAATGTAATATTTAATTCAAGGTATATATTATATTTATGTATATGTATGTGATAAGTGGAAAATATAATATAATAGTCAATTAAGTTTTAACATAAGTATAATATGTTTGACCTAGTTTGAATCACGAAGTGAAATTCTCCACGAAAAACACCAGCCGTGAGAAAGGGAGAGTGAGAGAGAGTAATCAAGATATAGAGCCGAGAAAGAGAGAAACAGTGAAAGAAAAAAAAAAAAAAAAAAGAAAAAAGGAAAAAAAGATTAGGGTTTTGTGACTTCATAAATTTTTTTAAATATTTCTTTGATCTTTCAAAAAATATTGTGAGTACAAAACTTACTTCTCTTGATTTGTTTTTATTTATTTATTTTTATTTATTTGATGTTGAATTAATTTCATATTTACATGTAGATGATTGATTGATTTTAATTATTTTGATTAGTTGTATTTGTAAGGTTTAGGATTTTTAGATGATTGATTGATTTTAATTATTTTGATTAGTTGTGTATGTAAGATTTAGACTTTTTAGATGATTGATTGATTTTAATTATTTTGATTAGTTGTGTATGCAAGGCTTAGGGTTTTTATATGGATTTATTTTATGGTTGTAATCACACTCATAGATATATGAAATTAAAATAAATTAGGAATCCATAAATAAATTCCTTACACTCTACATTGTTGTGTTATTTAAGTGCTGGTAAGAAAAAATGTAAAAAAAAAAAAAAATGAAGATTATGAGATTTATTTGAATGCCTTAAGCTTGGCATTGTTATATTTATTCTCATGAGTGAGATGTTGTATATATATATTGTTGCCTCGTTCTCATGAGTAGACGAGTGCTTTGATTTACGCGCGTACGTATATGCTAATCATCCCGGGAGTGTGGGTCAAACTCGGGACGATATCCTCGTGCAAGTTTGGTTTCGGAGCGGTGTTAGGTATACGGGAGGCACATGAGATATATGTGTAGGGCGGAAGTGGAGGCCGAAGTAGTGGCCGAAATGGTGGAGTTAAGGTACAAAGAATTTAATTATGAGTTTATTAAGTATAGTGTGAATTGTATTGATTTGTACATTTTTGAAAAATAGTAAACGACCTCGATAAATTATGAAATTTGAAAAGAGGCATGTATACGTGAAATTTGAGAAGAGGCATGTATATGTGATTCTAGACAACTTTTGTGTTTTAACTTTTTATTAAACAGATCGATTATAACTTATAATCGGATGATCTTAGATATTATAGTTTTGATTCATTTTACCAATGCAGATTTTAGAGGCTGTTTTAACCCATAAAATGAGTTCATTTTTATTGGTTTTGTATAAACTAAAGTAAAATCATCTTAGGGCAGTTTTTGTTCGTTTTCAGTTTCAGATTTTTCAGTTGAAATCCGTCTGGGTTCTTCTATCAAGTTTTTCCCCCAACTTGTTCAGTTTCTACTAAATTCGTTCGCGTTGTCTTTTAGGAAATTTGATTCTGTACATCTTTTGTTCTTTGAGTTTTAGTCAATTCAAATTCTTTAAGTATGAAACGGTACATTTTTATACTTCTTTAGTTTTAGTCAATTCGAATTCTTTTACCTCGGTTTGCGAACCATGTCTTGTTTTCTCTTCCCGAAGAGAGGGAGAGGTCTTGTAGACCATCTCTCAGTGGCCGTAGGCTACTTTTCGTGGTCGCAGACCACTATTCACGTTTGGAGACCAGTTTCCGGTTTTCGGAGCCGTCGGCCGTGCGTCTCGGTTCGGGACCGCTTAACTTTCTCCGTTTGCTCTGATTTTTGGCACACACCTTGTTTCCTCTCTCTAGAGGAATACTGTGGCCTGGGAGACCACCTTTATGGTCGCACGCCACTTTCGATGCTTAACAGCCTGTTTTCGGGGCACCCAGCTGCGCGTTTTGACTCCCAAATCCTCGTTTTGCATCCGTCTTGGTTCATTTTTGGCATGGACCTTGTTTTCATTGTTTGGAAGCTGGTACAAGGGTGGGAGACCACATTTTCTCCTTGGAGACCACTTTTCTACCGCCGGCCGGTTTTCTTGACAGGTAACTAGTCTCTCTCATTTTTGGGCCACAATTGTTGGTCTCCCACCACACCACTGGCTTGCATTCAATGTGGAGACCACCAAAGGGGATGGCCGACCACTTTTTGCTGACTTGAACCTTTTGAACTGGTCGGCCGACCACCTAAACTAGTCGGTCTGCCTCCATCAGTTCTGTCTCTGTGAGTTATTGCCAGCTACGCCAGCTGGAAGGCACAGAATGGATCCTCCATACACGTGTATGGAGGATCTTCAAACTTGTTTTTTAGCTTCTTTGGAAAGCTTTGGACCCCTTTGGCTATAAGAGAGACCCTCTCCCTCATTGGTAAAGGTTCATATTTTGTTTGAAGGCATACCATACATCTCTCCCTATATCTCTACACTTTGGCTCAAAAGTTGCTTGGTTCTTGGCCTATTGCACACCACCTCCTAGCCTAACACCTCCACCATTGCTTTGAGATCCTTGGAGGCCATTTTCAGAGGTTGAAGGTCTGAGTTTTTGGCCTCAAAGTTGCTGTCTTGCTGAGCTTCAAGGGTAACACACATTTTCCCTCTTTTAAGCATTATTTTGCTCCATCTTTTAGCC